AATTCACACTTTGTCTTACTTGCATTTTTTGTCTTTGCTTTCTCCCAGTCTCTCCTCCAGTGCTGACTGTTCCACCCGGACGTCAGGCTGTAAGTGTGCGAGAGGGAGGTAATGCCGAACTGGTGTGCTTAGTCGTAGATGGCAAACCACGTCCTCCTATACTGTGGTCACGGACAGAAAAGGACTTGCTAATGCCCTCGGGGCAGCCCACAGTGGAGACGCCTGATGGTCGCTTGAGGCTAAAGAACGTTAGCCGGGACATGATGGGGGCATACAGGTGCCAGACTGCTCCATACAATGGGCTTAACATTAAACGCAGAGAGGCACAGGTTCAACTCAATGTGCAGTGTAAGTATGGATCAGCGTACTTTCAGTTCAACATCCAAAATCCTTTGGCTTAAGCTGAATACAGGTCTCTCAGATTAAGAACATATCCTGGTGTCAGTAAGTCTAGGTTAGTGTAAACTCTTTTCAAATACTTTTTTGGGTGCAGCTTGTATACTATTAGGAAAATGCACAATAATACATGATAACACCAGCAAAAAAATTAATGATTCTGAAGGCGTCACAGAAGCTAGGAAGGAAACTGGCTGTTTAACTTCAGAGTGCAAAGTGCCTAACCTATTGCATCTCACACATTTTACATTTTCTGCAATTAATCGATCAAAGTTTTCAGTTACAATCAAGGAAATAATTTCATAATCCATTTATAAATTTATAAATTTGCTTACTTACAAAGAACTGAACAGTCTTTAACTTTTAGTAGAAGGTTGAATTGAATGGAAAGAGACAGAGTATTATTCTATGCTTGACTGTGGGGATGGTCTTATTTGGGTCATATTCAGCATTCGGTTTCCTACCGCCAATGCGGCAATTTGATATTAAAGAGCTTGATTTTGTTGTCATCTGACCGCAACCTTCTCCTGTTAGTTAGATGTTCACTAGCAAACTTGAGCAGGGGGCTACTACAGGATTGAAATCCTTTGGATCATTGACAAGCTCCTTCTGTGTATATATTTCTTGGGTTTCTGAATAATCACACCAGTAGTTGTCATCCTCCCACCAAGGTTCTTGCTGATGTTTTTGTAGCTCATTCCAGCTTTGTCAGGCTCTACAATCTTGTTCTTTGACAGCTTTTTGGTCTTGTCCATTGTGGTGGAGAGGTTGGAACGGAAGAAATGAATTAACTGGACAGGTGCACGCTAATTTCTGGACTTTAGGTTAATATTGTCTCTCTGTCCATTAAAATGAACATACGGCAAAAATGAATGACCTTTTATTTCTTTGTAAGTGGGCTAACTCAAAATTTTAGCAGAGGATCAAAGTATTGTGATCCCTTATAGGGGAGCATGTAGCGACTGAAGAGGGGAGAAAAACATGCTTACTAATGGGCAGCGAGTGGAAACACGTAGAGAAAAAATCATTTTGACAACTTTCCAACAGAGACCTGTTTCTGTAAATTAAAGAACATATCCTGGTTTTTTAAAAAACATTTATTTTACTTTTCCATTAAATTTAAATAATCACTTTTCTTTCTCTCACCCTCAGTGAAGTCATAACAGTTATACTTCACTAACAACTATGGACCCTATCAGCAGATAAGAAATTGTAAAAGGTGGAACAGAAAGCAAATGAGGACATACCTCTATTGCTCAGAGGCAGCTTTCACTAAACCTACTGCTTTCCCTTTGTGAACATTCGACTGAGGTCTGTCATTATAAAACTCCCAGAGGATCTACTTTGAGAGAGGAGAGGATGTGTCTTAGTAACGTAACGCATCATTTTGATACCTTTTTCCTTCCCATGAGGTTATCTTCTTTTACTTACTTTTACCATCCTGGAACTTTGACAGCCCTTATCAGTGCTAAGTCATGGAATGTGTGAGTACTACACATCAGCCTGCATATGTGTAAAACTGAGCAAGCCTTTTGCAAAACTTTCAGCCCTTTAAAAGAATATCTCTTCTTCCTTCAACTACTTGAATAAAAACATAACTTTTATTTCTCATTTATGTTAATGTTGTAAGAGTTAGACACTGTGGAATTGTAGATATAGTATATATAGCTTCTATATAAATATAGGTATATTAGGTATATACTAAAGAAACTGAGTATATTTTTAACCAGTTGACTTAGACAGTTGTTTTAAGTTGATACATAGATAATTTTTTTGCATGGTAGTCAATCTGTGAAGTCAGTTTTGAGGTAAACAGTCATTGATAAATTGTATATGTATTTTTTTTGTTGTCAAGGAACATTGAAACATTGTAACACTGAAAGTAAATTGTTTATTTCCATGGCTTCATTCATAGATTTAAAAAAACTCTCATTGTTCTGTTCATTCTGCCAAAAAAGTCAAAGGCTTTTTCTTTTATCTCTCCTAAAAACTGTATATTTATCAGGAAGTAAAGAACCAATTTCTGACCTACCTGATAAATACAAGCCCAAATTAGAGCCCTCTCCTCTCCTCCCCTCTTCTCTGCAAGGCGGATTTACAGGGCTTACTAATGCAGGCAGGGTGCAAGGGCGACACTCTGTGAGCTCTGCTGTCTGCACTGGCCAACTCTGATTAATGGACCAGGTGGCCACCGCACTATGGACAGCGAAAGAAACGGAGCAACGAGACAGCTACATGAGCAGGAATAGGAGTGAGCATAACGGGGTTAAGAGAGAGCTTGAAACAGGAAAGCATGGATGGTGATGGGGGGAAGGGGGAAGAGAGGATGAGAAGGTGCTAACAAAGCGAGGGACTGGTTGGCAAATAGAGAAACAAGAACATATTTCAGTGCAGCCAATCAAATTGTGGAAAATAAATTTCCCACTTTTATTCAGCTGCGCCTTTGTCCCCTGACTTAATTTGTTTATTTTATCACGTTTCTTTGCTTTATTCTGTTTACCACTGTTGATTGATGTGAGGGAAGGATGGCATCATTTTTTAAGGCCGATGTAATTAAGTGGATAGGCAGATGCTCGCCACTGTTTCCACTCTTGCCTCTCCCACTCCCACTTTTGCCTTGTATCACTTCTATACTTGCCCAGTGTTCCTTTTTTCCCTCCTGGAGAGGTGGCTGTTCTTCCTCATTGCCATTCTCATCATCATCAATCAGTTAACTGCTGGCCATGAGAGAAGACCTCTCTCTGTCTTGTCATTCTCTTTCTGCATCCTGCATTCTCTCATTCACTCCCCACCTCCCATACTCAATCACTGACTTCTCTCACTTTCACACTGCACGTTCCCTATCATTTGTCTTCCTCTTTGTCTTCTTCTTTAAGAGCGATCCTTTCTTCTCTCATCCCTCCTTACCCCTCATGCATGCTACCTTCCTCTCTCAGTCTCATGTAAATTGATTTTCTCTTTGTGCACTGTAAATGTTTGGCTTGGTCAGTGTTGCATTCCCGGATGAATTCATTTCGCATTCAATAAGATGGATAGCGATGGTGTGTTTACATGGATTATAGTCTTTTGACTATGAAACATTGCAACAGTGTGCTATGAGTCCTGAATGAGAAGCAAATAAATGCAAAAGCAATGCTCTGGAGAATTTTGGGGGAAAAAAGTTTAATTAGAAAGTAAAATAACCACAAAAAGTGGAATCTACTTGAGCAGTTGTTGAAATGAATATATTAGATGAGAAAGGGAACTGTGCTAGCTTAATGATTTCTAAATTGATTACATACCAACGTATAACTCACCTCTGTTTTCCTCCTTGCTTCTATTGCCATTCCTCCACGTTTTGCCTTTTTTCTTTATCCTTCTTATCTATTTCCAAAGTCAGCAATCAGTATGCATATGTGCTGTAAGTGGGAGCAGGGTGTGTGACCATACACTAATCAATCCACTAGGATTACAGTATGACCTTTGACCACTTACACATCCCTCAGCGTCGCACATCATCACATAGCTGTGGGTGTAAGGAGTAGCTAAACATTAGTTTTGAGAGATCAGAGAGGCAGTAATTGTATCAGAGTACACAACACTCAGTTAGCATTTGTGGGAAGAACTTTGGATACATGCTGGGAATCTAGACTATAAGCCAAAAGACAACCTAGTGGCTGAGACGTTAAATGCTTTGGTGGTTTGCGATCTTTTTAGCATTCAGGTGCTTACTCACATTTCTTTGACTGGAGTGCTGGCATAGAATGGTAAACTGATTTCAAACAAGAATTTGGTTTGGCTGTGTATACCCGTCCGTAGCAAAATAAACAACAGCAACAAGAAAAAAATATATTATTGAAAGTTTTAGTCATAGTGAATTTAAATGTATTTTCTTCAGTTCTTTAGCTTTCAAGAATATGTATTAAATGGATAATGTGTTCAGGCAGGTTATAGCTCTCAGCTTATCTATTCTGGTTTCTGATGTGTAAAATGCAGAAGCTGCTGAATCCTTAAACTTAAATTACGTTAGTCTTTAAAAAGGTGTAACATCTGTGTGTAAATAAAACATTACTTGTCTAGCATCTTTCTTTCAATTGAGTGCAACTCAGCGTAATCAATTAGTAATAGACATATATTATTAATTTAATTAGTAACACTATTAACATTGACTTTATAAGACAGAAAAAGAAGAGAGTTTTTAACCATTATTTTTAATCTCTATATATAGCTATACTGTAGAGGCAGGTTTAGGTTTCTGTTTAATCATATCAACACCTCCATTGTCAGCCAACCAGAGATTTTGATATTGTATAAAACACAATAACAGGATCTCTGTTTCTCTTTCCCTCCCTGCTCCTTGCTTTACATTATCTTACCGTCTTTTTCTTCCCTCCATACTGCAGCTCATTCTGTCTGTCTAAATTACAGGCATAACATAGATTAGACTATAATTACACATCTGTGTCTGATAAACTTGATTCATAAGGGGCGCTAGTCATGCTGTATCACCTCTGGGCCTTAACACCAGATCTCATCAACGTTAGTACTGCAGTACCACCATTAGCATCTTGTCTATTATCTACATGATTAGCCAGGGGTGAAGTAGCTGGCTGGTGATTTGTGGCACAGTAATTTGGCTGTGTTGTGTCTTGGCTGACCCCAGGGCAGCAGTGGCTGGTCAATCATTAACCACAAAGGCACACATCACTGTTGACAGGTTAATTACAACTGGTTAGGATAGGTTAGAAGCAGGGATGAGAGTGTGGCTCGAAACGCCTGATCCCTTGTGGCAATAACAGTTGTTTTGTGTTGGATGATTTGTAACAACACATTTTTTATAATGGTTTAAGAAAATCCACTTTGCAAAGAACATAAAGAAGTGAGACATGGATGACACTGTCTTTGCAGTCCATTTGGTACTACATGTCTAAGACGAGTTTCTGAGATTAAATGTGGGTTTTTTTGGAAATGTCTGTTTCAGTTTATCTTCATTCCCTTATGATGAAAACAATTTTTAACATTAGAAACCAGCTAGACCGAACTAATTTTCAAATGTTTATCTGCATTCATAATCACAAATTAAGTTACTGCACAGTTACTGAATATAAGTAAGAGAGAATAAAATAAGGATTCAACTCTACAATAAAGTACTTGTGCAAAAACCTAATAATGAGTATTAGACTTGCAATAACAGTGGCAAGGCTGTTTAAAAAATGCTACTGCTGCACTTGCATAAAAACAGAGTATAATATTCACTCTATTATTAAAACACAAGTGTTTATTTTTCTGCAGACCCTCCCATTCTGGACCCAGTCTTTCAAGATGTCCGTTCCAGGAACTATCAAATGGTAACCCTGAGATGTACAATCCTACGATCAAACCCTCCTCGCCTAACAGACATCCGCTGGTTCCGTAATGGTGACTTCATCCGTATGCCAATGCCAGACCTGAAGGAGACACCGGAGCTGAAGTTCAAACTGGAACCCACCAACAATGGCTCTTACGAGTGCCGAGTGAGCAATACTGAGGGAACATCAGCATGCACATTTAATGTCTCTGGTGAGTGTGCCATTAATGGAAAAAAAAGTCGTAATCCTCTTATTATCAGTTTTATATTCCTGTACTCATGCACCCTTACCTCCATATAAAGATTTAGTTTTCCTTCTGTGTCATTCAGTAATTTTTATAAAACATTGTTGCTCTATATCGCTCTCTGTCATACAGCACAACCATACAATGCTGAGTTTTACTTTGATACACCCAACCCTGTCCGGATTCTGAAAGGAAACAACTATTCCTACAATTTGCAGTGGACACAAAAAGAACCCGATGCCACAGATCGCATCATAGGATACTGGATTAATGTTCGAAAGGTAAAGTTCCCCCATATTTAATCCATCTATATAAATAAATAAATAAATAAATATATATATATATATATGTACTGTATGCCTATTTGCATGCCTCATTACACACATATCCTGCGTGTGTAGTATCTTATAGTATCATTCGTGAGATCTTGACAAGAGGCAAGTGCAGTGGATTGACAAACACCAACTCACTGACTTTGTTTATCAAGCACTCATGATACTGATTTGATTGGTCTAACTTTATCCAAGGCAAACTTTGGTCACCTGCCTTTGTAAAAATCACCTCTAGCTTTAGAGGTGACAGCTTGTATAGATAAAAAGCATACACACAGGACTGTAAGCAGGAAAGTTTACATTCTAAGTAAACATGGGGCTTTATGAGCTTGGGAAGTGTCAGAGTGTCAGACATGTGTAGACAGTCAAAGCCACTCATTTCCTTTCACTCATGCACTCAACTTTACTTTTAGGATTGTATTGTATGTTTTTTTCTTTTTTTATAAAAAAAAGTTTTGTATTAAACACACTTGTGTTTCCTTGCAGTGATATATCACTCTGAGGCTATTCCTAGGCAGGATTTATCAGCCTTCTGGACTTTTTATTTTAGATTTGCCACATATATTTAATTTGCTGTCTGGATCTGAGTGCCAGACTAGTACTAATGTGTTTATTACCAATTCCACAATGAAAGGAATGCCATCTTTTAACCACATGAGTCGAGAGACAGTTAGCATTTTTTAAATCCATTTTCATGTTTTAGCTTGCCCTCAAAGGATTGACTTTCTATTGAGGCCACTACATTTCTGGAACCCCGTGAAGGTTGTTAAATGAGTCTTGCAGTCACAAATTAGATTAAGCGTGTACTGAAGAAGCTTTTAAAACCTTAACTTCTTTCAACTCAATTTTGAGCCAAAACAAGGTGATGTTTTCACCATGATCTGATACACCACATTTATGTACGTTTGCATAAACTCGTAGGCTTTATGACTGACCCTCGACGAAATCCAGTACTTTCGGAGCCCCTAATAGGACAATGATCTAAAATTAGGAACCTCTGTCCACAATAGTAGAGCACCCTGAGGCCATGTTCTTGTTATGTTTCAAGCATCTACTCGTATATTACTGGCCTTTGTCAGAAGACATGAAGGTAGTGGTGAATTATACACAACTGGCTGGGGTTGGGTATGGTGTGCATGCATGTGTGTGAGAGAGAGACACTTAAACAGAGGGAACGTGAGGACTGCCAGCTTGCTTTTGTGTGGATGAATAGTTAATTCCCCTCCTGCTTCAAGACTTGGCTGCTTACCTTATTAAGTAAGGCTCTTCTGGGAGACAGAAAATGAGCACTAGTCTTCGTAAGATGCACATTAGATTGCATGCCTAAGCTCTCTGAAAACTCACTCTTCCTCCTTTGTTTCATCAACCTCTCCTGGCTGTCCTCGCCTTTTCTGCTATGTATCCTTATTTCACTTTAGTCTCTTACCTACTGTCCGTCCCATTTCTTTCTCCCTTTGTGCCTTGGTCACACTTTTGCATTCAGTCCTTCCAGCCCTCTCGGTCTCTCTCTCTCCCTCTTTCTCTCTCTCTCTCTCTTTCTCTCTCTCTCTCTCTCACCATCTCCGTAAACTGCAAACCTAATGGCATTTGATGTCGGGTGAACCATGGAAAGCGGAATAGCACTGATAAATAGTGGCTGCAAGTTCTTATGCCGACAGTGTTAAAATAATGAGTTGCATTAAGTGGCAGTTTAGGACTTCTTAAATGTTGTTAAGCTTTAATTGAATTTCAAGGTTTTTACCTGAATGGTTTTTTTTATGTGTTCATTAGAGAGTGAAAAGAGACAGAAAAATAAGGAAGGCATGGAGGTTGTGAGCAAGAAAGTGAACGGAAGAGTGCGAATGGAGAGAAATACGATGCAAATTAAAGAAAAACATCAAATCTCACTGGCCCTCTCAACTATTAAATAGAGTACGAGAAAATTCAAATGTAATACCATCTCAATTTCACAACCCATCTATTTCTGAAACATTTTCTCCAGCTCATCCTTTTAACGCCTTGGCACTCTATCTTTTTAGCACCTACAAAATGATATGGGGGTCTCATGAGAAACAAGCAGGTATAGAGGGGAATACAAGAGGACTCTGTTCGTGTAGAACAGCACTCTTCATCGCAGATCTGACTACATGACTATAACTTTTATACTTTTTGCTTCAGCTTGATTTTTTTATTATGTGTGAATAGGTATGTTTTAAATGAGATTTAATGCAGGTTTATTCTGTTTTATGCCTGAAGAATATGAATGTATTTCATATTGTATAACTGGCATTAATATATTTACTCGTTTGAACAAGGAATGTCCTTGTGTGTGTGTGCGCATGGCAGTTTATGTGGTTTACACCAAGACTCATTGGCAGGCTATGAAATCCTTGCTTACACGTCTTAATTTAGTTTCATTCTCCCTGCAGGGGGTTTCCCTGTGTTTGAATTAACAGTGTTGACAGGGCCTTTTTTTAAAAAGCCTGTCCTCACTCCACGTTTCCTCGAGAGATAATAAATTAATATGTGATAATTTTACCTTTTTACCGCAAGAGCAGCTGATTTACTTTTGTTTCTCAAGGCTTTGATATTATTTTGTCTCACACACATAGAAAGCTCAGGGTTTATGTCATCAGAATTCTTCTGTGATGCATGTGCACTCATGTGTTATGTAAATAAATATGATTCAAACCCAAGAGGGTCAAATTTGTAGAATTTCTTTGCTGAAAAGTAGTTACACATTATCAAAATCTAGAAATACACATAAACAACTGGGAAGAACAAGAAAGGTTTAACGTGCTGGTCATCAAACTTGAAATGGACATTCAGAAAGCTGCTTAGTAAACATGTCTTTAACTCTAAGAGAAAGTGAATCAGTCTTTTGCTTTGCTTTAGTTGCATATATTTGCATGCAGCTATGTTGAAGTTTTCAATTCAGTTTAATTCATTTCAACCATCAACAATTTAGCGACAATTGGCAGCTCAAGACACTTTATTATGTATTGCAAAATAAAGTTCCTGCTATTGTATATTACAGATAAAAATCCCATTGATTAAAAATGTACCTTTGAACAAACACTTGACTACTGCGAAGAACAAAAAATAAAAGATTACATGAAGAAAGGCAGCACTAGGTTCAGGACGTGCACCATCTGCAGTGACCTGTTGGAGTAAGGGGAAAGCAAAGAAAGGAAAGAAGAGCACAGAGAGAGCATTACATAGAGAGGTCTCCACTTAGAGGGATGAAGGCAGTGGTTGTCTGCAGCTGCCACAGCTATGGAAACACGGGTGTTTCCAATTGATTGAGAAGTCGAGTTGGTGAAGTCTCCTTTGATCCACTCAAAACAGTCCTCTACCAACTGTACAAACGATGACTAGCTGACACTGGAGTCTCTCACTGCTTGTGTGCTGAAATATTTCACTGTGTGTGCTTACACTGAAGCTAGCTGATTGAACTCTGTTATTTCACTTTGCTCTCTCTTCATTTTATGATTTTTTTCTGTAGGCTTGTAAATCAAATTTATAAAACTCTGGTCTTTTTCCTGACTGACTCTAACCGCATCTTTCCATTAACCTCGTATGCAATAACATGGCCTTGGTGAATGTTTTTGAATATCCTTATTAACTCTTGCCAATCAGAAACTACTTTTTTACTTCTGTCCTTACATACACTCACTGGACAGTTTATTAGGTACACCTTGCTTCAGAACTCCCTTAATTATTTAGGGCAAAGATTCAATAGGGTGCTGGAAACATTCCTCTGTGGTTTTGGTCCCATTCTATGCACGTGTTGAGGGTCACATATGGCAACAGACTCAATAAACTGATCTGCAAGGCCAGTAGTGTTGTGGGGATGGAGCTGGACTCCTTTAAGGTGGTGTTGGAGAGGCGGATCTTGTCCAAGATAAGGACAATGCTGGACAATACCTCCCCCCCCCACTCCCTGATGAGGTAGCCAGTCACAGAAGCACGTTTAGTGAAAGACAGATTACCCAAAAAGATTGGTTGTGTTGTATAATCACAGATGCTCTTCTGCATATCTTGGCTGTAAAGATTCATTATTGTATTTGCTGTTGCCTTACTGTCCCTATTGCTATAACTTCAATTGCCTTTCTCCCTGATTCTAAGGTTATATTGAACATATCTACATTCCTCAGTGACCTGAGTTGCTGACATGTCATTAGCTGATTAGATATTTGTGAAAAGATGTTCTTAATAAAATAGGCTGGTTAGTGTATAGCATGTTTGCATTTTAAGAAAACATGTTATGCATGTTTTCAGAAAGATACAAAACCAGGAACGTTACACATATTCTCCCATTGTTCTGTTTTTTTACAGTCAGCATGACTTTAAAACTAATGTAAGGAAAATATCAACCTGGTAACCAAGAAACCTCTTTAGCCATCTTTAGATGGAAATTAGTCAGCTAACTCCCTTCTAACTTCTAAGTCCATTAAACTTCATAAGTCCTGTTTCTCATGATGACTGGATGTTAAACTTAATTGTTACACCTGGTAGAGCAGCCACACTCATCATTTTATTTAATATGAAAGAATTTAGACAGTTTTTAACTCTCAGTGATGTTGCAGTGTTTGTTTGACTTTGGAACCTGAAGAGGACCTGGAAATGGCTAATGACATCAGACTTAAAGAGCGAATAGTCTCTCTCTCACACTAGCCAACTCGTTTTATTGCCTAAACCACATTGACTGGTTTTGGTGCCTAAACCTGCATATACACTGGAAGCAATTTGCTCATTGCTGTGAATTGCTTTCAGTGTGTATGTTGCTTAAGCCTAAGAAAACATCAAGATCAAACCAAACAACACACAAAAATGAAGCTAAAGCCTAAAAGAAACCAAAGAAAGTGTAAAAATCACGAATTCAGTGTGTGATTCTGGTGACAAAGTGACTTACTCAAATTCAGCTATTGCCAGAAATGAAATATAATTTATATTTGTATTCTTTCCATTTCTTTGTTTGTTTGTTTTTATCCATTTTTATTCAAAAAATCCCTTTCCTGTCTGAATATTCTTCACCTCTTTTCTATATTGACCAGTCTAAACCCAAGTTGTGTGTGTTATATCACTGAAGTTGTTCAGCTAGTAGCTGACCTGCCTTCACATAATAACTATTCAGGTTCTTGCACTCTAAGATTTAGCCACACACAGTCACACAAAGTGTCTCTGTGCAAGCACACAGTCCACATTACCATATATATGAGAGATGAAAAATATTCATGATGAATTAGAGTTGTACATTAAATCAAATATAGGAATAATTTATGTACATAACTAGCCCAACAAGGCAGATACACACGTATGTTTGCACACAGATAGACCACATAGGCCTTTGTAAGCATAACTTTTCAATAGACAGAGTGCAAAGAAATGCATCAAGTATCAGTAAATTGCTGGATCAGTCATAAAAGAGAACCATTAACAGACTATAATAGAAAAATTAACCTTAGCACAAGGCTGCCTCGCCGTATGCTGTCAGTCCACATTTCTGTCATTTACAGATCACTCTGCCTCCACGGTCCTATTTCATAGCACAAGTTCTCCTGCTCTTGCCCTCTTTTACACAATATTTGTCTTGTTGTGTCTTTATTAAAAGTCCGATGGCAATACAGATGAAAATGCTGTTTGGCTGAAAGTGTCTGTACAGCAGGCAATATGTCAGTCCCACTCCTGTCTCATTCTGTTGTTCCCTTTGTACTATTTTGTTGCACTCTTACCCCTTTCCCCTTGCCTGTCACATAGACTCACACAAATAAGCATAGAGACACTGACAATATGTCCTGCTGAAGAAAGCAGAGAAAGACAGAGGCAGGGTGAAACAGACTTCAACCTGTGGTAGGAGCAGCTGGTTTCTCTAAGTCACACTTCAGCACCTCATTGATCCACTGGTCCTAGTTCCAAAGAGTGTATGTGCATGTGTGTTAAAGTCCCCTCATAGTTTTTCAGTATCATTAATCTCCAGCGCACTGCATGTACGTGTACACACACATACACACTGCCCACTCATTAATAAAGGATAATATATTTCCAAAACTCAGGCAGATATTCACTCATCTCTTCTTGCTAACACACACTCTATACATTTTAAATGTGCATAACTTTTCTTTCCTGCTGTATTCCATATAAATATGCATATCCGATGTGTGAGCAGAGTGTAAATGTTTTTTATGGCTCAATATGAGCATAAGTTGGTGCTAAAAGGGTGCAATTCATAGTCTTCTGCATCATATGATAGTGTAAATGCTCCAGCAACGGAGCAAATATCTGAGGAAATCACTCATCTGCAGTTGGAGTTGCAGTTGATTACAATAAATAATAAGCAACAACAGCACCAAAAGAATGGACAAATGATATTCATATCATGCCCTATAGTACTTGACAAGACTCGTTGCTTTTGGAGAAATTGAAGCCGTAAACCATTTTTGGCCTAAAACTTTATTAGGCTGTATTATTGCTTTTACTTAAAATTACCTTCTTCGAGTTTTTAGTGAATGGATCATTAGGTCCATTGTATATCAGCCATGGACTAATGGTCTCAAGTATTTTGGTTAGTTGCATTGCAACAGGAATGTTGGATGTTTGGATGTTTGTTTGTTTTTTAGCAGTTCAGTTTTTAGATACAATTTATACTATTTTATACTTAAAAATATTTAAGTGGAAGAAGTGTTTTTTTTGTTTGTTTGTTTTTTTCTGTAAGCAGTTATTTAGCTTTCATGGTCTCTATTGGTGGAGCTACAAAAGGGATCGCCAATGTCTGGCAAAAAGGGCAAACTTCATTTTGGAAAAACTGAAATGGAAACACCAAGAGTGGCACTGAGAAAAGAAGTTTGCCATCATGGCACAATGTCTGGTGAGGATGCATGGACTTGATACCAAGCATGTTGCTGAGCACACACTTGGGCTGTGGCTGCCGTTGGGGTCTCGCACAGTAATTGGAGTTGTACAAAGTTTTTGGCAGGCCAGGCAGGAGTCAGCTCAGTCTAGCAGAGTTGGAATTTGTGTCAGTGAGTAGACATCCAATGAAAACTGCACACCTCAAATTGAGGGAGGATGTCAGAGCACAGAGTACTATAGCAATTATAGCAAAAGTAACTAAATCCACCAGTGATTTAATGTTAAATTAGAACAGCAATTGAGCCTATAAGGGCATTTTTAATAGATATACCTTTATATAAATCTATATATATATTTTTATCGCAGTGTCACTCAAGAAGTATGAAATGTCATATCTAGGAGATCCTAAATCCAAATTCATGCTGAATATAAAAAAAAAATGTGTCTGTAATTATATGATGTTCACAAAACTTCAGCTGCTGACTATCTGAGAAAACTGTACAGGAGACATTTATCATAAACACAAAACCATGTGCACACTTAAACACACAACACCCGCAGTATACACACACTTCTGTGCTGCATGTGTTACCTGATAATGGCATGCTGTGGGTGTACTAAGCTGTTATGGTGGAGTGGCTGACCTAATGCATTAGATTGAGCTCACTGTCAGGTCTTTAAGTAGCTGGGATCAGAGGCAGATACACAGCTAATGGATCCTTCTCTCCGTGGGTGGAATAACACAGCAATAGCTCTATTTAATGGAAAAAAAGACTTAACTTTAAAAGAATGAGAAGACACCAATTGGTTGAGCTCAATATCTTAACCATTTTAATATTTCATATGAATTATAATGATACACAGCCAAATAAGTTATTGGAAGTTGGAGGGGTTTTAAAGATTGTATTTATATTTAAAAGCATGCATGATTGAAAAGTGCTGCTATTAAACAAACTTATTGAGTCCCTATTGTGGAAACAGAAGTGGAAATCACATAACTTGCTCAGAGCACTAAAACTAACCAACAGGTATTTTTAAACATCAAAATTGATGTGGGAGACCACTGATATACCGAAACTAATGTAGCCTCTTCTGGCCTTTAAAGCTCTTAGAGAGAATCAATTTTAGGAAGGCAGCTTGTATACTTTATTTTGAAAATAAAGTAGACTGAAAACATACCTAAGCTATGTTGGTTGGGAATATACCCCAGAAAGGTAAGTTTATCCCTATATGTAATTTCACATAAAAACATACACTAATGTGATTTGATAATGAGTTGTTAAAAAATGAGCTGCCATGTTTTACATTTTTTTTTTTTTTGCTCCAAAAAAACTTCAACCCTGTGTCTGATGTTGTTTGTGTATTTAAATGAAAGTGCTGGGGTATTATGACTATTATACTAGTAAGGATTAGGATTGCATGAAAATCCTCCAGATGCGAGATGAGCTGGAGTTGTTAAATGAGTTGTGGCTTTTTCCCAGTGACTTCTGAATGACGAAATTTTAGGACATCCAAGTAAAGTGATAGAGCTGATGGGGTATGACCAAAGATGAACGAACCCAAAATGAAAAGAAAGAAAGGGGAATGGGAAATATGCCTGACACCACTGACACGTCCTTATGTGACTCCTTTACCCTTTCTCCTACTCAGTCAAATCATTGTATGTACAGTTTTTTTTACACTTTTGACCAAGTACATTTGCACATTAACAAGCCTTCATCTTTTCTATTTGTGTGTATGTGTTTGTGTACCTATGTATGAATGCAGAACAAGCAAAACCTGCTGTCAAAACAAATAGACCTCAAGGGTAAGACACCAGAAAAGGGTGTTCTGATGTCCTACGCAGTATCAGACCTGAAAATCCCTCTGTCCTACGAGGTCCGGCTGGCCCCTATTACCACCTACAGCACTGGGGACTATGTCAGTCGAATCATCCAGTATTCAGAACGTGAGTCTCTCTTAAAATCCTCGATCTTTGTCTGCAGTCATTAGATATTTTTTTAACCCAACCATATACTTACACAGAGCATAGATCAATTGATGGGTTGTTCATGTTTGAGTGCTAATCAATATTATCATAATTCTTTTTACAGCCTACACTTACCCAAGACCTTCAGGTGAGACTCAACTGCCATCCTTTGCTCTTGTACATTTGATCACCTTTAACTTTCTTTTTCAACCTGATTTATAACAGAGTCATGTTGAATTCTGATGAAGGTTTAAATAAGCATGTTTGCTCCAAGCAGTGTCAGCACAAGTCTGCCAAGGCAAAGGTTCCCAACACGCGACCCCGTGACTCATGACCCTTAATCATATTGTTGCGATGAAAATAATGGGGTAACAAAAAATGATGGGTGAAACAAGCTCTATAGAACTTTAAATGTCTTGAAATGGTGACAATGGGAGAAGGATATCAGGTCGGTTATGATGGTATGATTGGCTAGGCTTGAAAAATTTCAAATACAAAATGTGGGCCATTCTGTATGTTTTAAACTTGATCAGGCTATATTAAAACTATGTTCCATCTCATCATAGATTTTTAGTTCCTTTCTCTCTCTGTTAGCCCCCTCTGTCTGTCACAGTTTTCCACCAGCGTCTATCCTGGTCCTGCCTCTCTCTTACCATCCCTCTCTCTTTTTCTCAGTCAATTGCATCTTGTCTATTTTCTTCATTAAGAGACACGCAGCATTTTTCTGGCAGGAGTGTCAGTTGGCTCCATCAGGGTGAGGCAATTAAAACAACAGCAGATTGGAACAGACTGCGAGAACAACAGTGTAAATTGAAAGGAGCGCATGTACTAGAGCAGGGTGTGAATAGTAATAGATTAGCTCCCTGAAACAGAGAGACGCACACACGCCGTCCTCTTGGGGAGCACAAGCCATATGCATCTGCAGCGGACTGTGTGTGTCCGGGAAGCTTTTACTGATGCTGTCAGCTTGGATGGTTTTAGATGGCTGTTGTTATACTCTCTTGGCTCAATTTTCATTTGTTTAGTGAGTCTCTGATAATTGCTCTCCAGATGGGCTAATGAAGGTGACTACACCACGGAAAGAAGGCTCTTTATCTTGCTTAACAAGAGACATTAACATCAACGACGACAAAACTCGGGGTGTTCTTCAAAATATCTTTTTTGTCCTTAATGATCTATGTGACAGTATCAAAGTGTCTCTCAAAGCATATTAATGGGAAAACATTAAAAGAATCACATAGCTCAGAGAAGATTAAATGTTCAGGGAAACTGCATCTCATTAAAGCTTTTACCTAATTGTGTTTATAGATTATATTCACAAGGTGTCAACAGCCAGTAGGAGCACTCAAAAACAAGAAAGGTAGACTCGTACTTCTACTGTCAGGTCCAAAATAAGTCAAACAAAGAAATTGCAGTTTTGCCGTTACACACTTGCACAGTGGATTTTTAATCAAATAATCAATATACGAATAAAGTGCAGACCAAGGTTGTTATAGTTAACTAAAACTAAACTAACAACTAAAACTAAATGTGCAAAAAACATTTTAGTTAAATAAAATAAAAACTTATTAAGAAAATTAAAGCTGGCAGAAATGATTTTGTGAAAAAACTACCAAAAATAAAATGAAAATACAGAGGAAATAGCCTCAGTTTTAGAATCTGCTAGTTTGGTAAAAATGATATTACAACTTACCACATGAGGCTGTGATGGGTGCGTTTACTGAGATTTTGGATGTCAAAAAGTCTGCGAATCAACTGCTTTCAAAAAGTGCTGCTTTTTATTACAATAGCTATACTGATTTTTCAAAATCTTTGCCTCTGACATATGCAGGCTCCATTCAGTAATACTTAAAATGACTAAAACTAAATGAATCTACTGAATCAAAACTGAAATATAAACAAAACAGTCAAAATAAAATTGCATAACTCTGTAGCAGCTTTAATTCAACAGTTGACTGACACGTAGTGTTATGGTCGTTTTTAATAAAGGACACATCATATTTGACTTTATTCAAATATTTAATTTGTATTTTAGAGCTTTTTACAGTCATTTTAATTATAAGACCCAAAGAGAGCACATGTGAGGGATGGAATCATTTGGCTAAAAAAACAAAACAAAACATAAAGCCAAATAAATCTATTAGAGGCATAGTAAAAATTAACTTTATTGGAGTAGCCAATATCACAATCTGGTACGTTCTTTTCAAGATTGTACCAGATTGTGGTACCAGCTCAGCAAAAGCAAAAAGCCTGAAAGACCACAGAAGACAGTTCCAAAGTGTGATGACAGAATTTTTTATGGTTAAAAAATAACTTAAAAAACATTCAACCAACTCAAGAACACTTTCAAGAGTTACACATATTATTGTCAAGGTTTATAAATCAGAGACATTTTCAGGAGTGGAAATAAGATGGTTTGCAACAAGGAAAACACATAAAAGAGCCTGCCGGAAAAAAAAATTTCTTTGGACTAATTACAAATTTGTACCAGAAGGATGGTGAAGAGAAAAGTATGGAAAAGGAGAAAAACGACTCATGATCAAAGCATACCACAGTATCCATCAAACATGTTGGAGGCAGCGGACATAGGTTAGGGCATGTATGGCTGCCAGTGGAACCAGGACACTAGTCTTTATTGATGATGTGACTGCTGACAAAAGGAGCAGAATGAATTCTTAAGTGTGCAGGGCTATATTCTCTGCTCAGATTCAGCGAAATGCTGCAGAACTGACCCGATAATGCTTCAGTGCAAATGGATAATGACCCAAAGCATAATGTGAAAACTACTTTCTCAAGGCAAAGAAATTGGGCAGTCACGTGATGGACCCAATAGAGCATACGTCTTCATTATTAAATACAAAATTGAGTTCAGAATGACCGACAATCAAGAAGCAACTGAAGGTGGCTACAGTAAAGGCCTAGCAGAGCATCTTGTGGGAGAAAAGCAAAGGATTTTCGTCCAAGCATTAAAAACAATCCTGTTAGTTATTTTTTTTTGTTTTTTTTGTAAAACCACTTGAATTAAAGCTGAATGTCTGCACTTCAATCACATATTGGTTGATTGATTTAACATTAACTGTGTAGGTGTGCTGAGGTGAAGCTCCAACAATGTGTTTTGGTCCAACAACATTTGTTTTTTTCATATCACACAGTTCAAGATAGATTTAATGAAATCTTGGTCTCAATCTGTCTTGCACTTCACAAGGTCAGTTTGAGGCATGTCAAACTGTACCATGAATGTGTGGTGAACCATAGCACTCCCAACATAGCACTCCCAACAGAGTGTATAAGAGCAGAGGCATATACACTTGTACCACCCGTCTGCAGTTTTATTTTGAAAATGAGTCAGTATTATGGTATATTCCCTACATACCAGAGTTTTCTTGTTTTGTTGGTTTGATTTTAAACATAAGTCAAAGCAGTCGTTAGTACACTAACAATATGAACTTTGCATATTCAACGAACTTTGCTAGAACCTGTCTTTAGCCTTTAAGTTTCCAAACTGGCACATTGTATTTGACTCTCACTGCTATTTAAAACTACAGAATTAGATGAACAGCCACAAATTTTACAACATTTGTAATTGCCATATGTCTGGATGACTAAATATTTAATACTGCTTTTATTTTCATGATGAGTAGTAGTGTTATACAATATCAGGTGAGCATTTTTTCACTGAATTGCACAGTCAATACAAAGGAGAAGACTTGAATCTAATGCCTACTTTAGTGCAATTCATTATTCCAGGTATTTTTAATTTCCTTTTTTTAATCGTTTTACACAGTTTTAGTCTGAGAATGTAAGAGTCATACTTTCAATTATACATAATATGTATACCAGTGCCTCCTACGTGGTGCCTATCACTTTGTCAGTAATTGCTTAGCTGTCTGGTTTGAAGTGCACATTGCAGAGGTCATTATAGACCTTTATAGATGTTGCCATTTGTTTCCTGGGAAAGGTGGGTGAAAAAAAAAAGAAACAGCCTTCTATGTCATCTACAGTTTGTAATGTCACCCACTTGACATGTCAGTGATTTAATGTGTTTTTCTATCTTCTTTTTTTTGTAACAACACACACACCTCAGACCATGTGTGTGGCTTTGAAGATGAGCGCATATGTGGCTTCTCTCAAGACCGGAGTGATATCTTTGACTGGACGAGACAAAATCACCTGACGCAGAATCCCAAGCGGTCTGCAAACACTGGGCCAGACACTGACCGCAGTGGAACAAAGGAGGGTGAGGAAACTATGACTCATCTAAACTGAAATACAAATGTAATGTGGAAGTGTAAATTCAAAGGCACAGAAACAAAACAAATGTGTATGTACAGTCAAGATCATTCATCTTCAGACAATGTGCTTTTTTGCTGTTGTTGTTGTTGTACACGCACTGTTTCACGGCAATTATAAATAAAATATGGGATAATACATTAGTGTCAGGTCTCAACTTTAGAGTGAGTAGTTCTACATTAACATACAG